TCCCATCGCTTGTTCGTTCAAAGTTGTGCTTTTCTCAAGTCTTCGAGCGAAGAAGTGTAAGAAGATATGTTTTCGGAGCCGGAACGACGTTGCTCCTCTACCCCATTCCGCAGATGTTCCCCTGCCCGATCAGGAAATCTCTCGACCAACTGATTCCGAAAAGGTGATCTGCGCTAGGCATGCACTCCGTTTCCGTCATTTGACTAACTCATCGACAAGTACGAAATGAACAACATCTTTTCAATACAGAGTCTATGAACTGAGTAATGTTCGATTCAAAATATCCTGGATCCCTCCCATACCTGCTAAGAGCGTCAGGCCAGAAATTGTCCAACTCTCTCACGGTTGCTCTCTGACTAAGGAAAATGAATATAGTGGATATGATAAATGATTCAGACAATTCATGTCTCTACTACATGATAACATAGCTTTACTGCCATTCTTGAATATCCATAAGAGTGGATACAGCGTATCATCGCTAATACGTAGCCTATCGCCGCACTGATAGAGCCTGTAATGGGTAAGCTCCCGACATCATGCGGAAAGCATGCTGTGAAAGTCTTTCACGGAACTTCTCTCAAGTGCGGCGGCACTTCCGTGACCCGCTACCCCAACTCGACTCGAGTATAGAGCGTCTAATAGGAGCGTCATATTGGCAAGATCGTACTGCTTTAGGTTGACTGCGGTTGGCGATCGATTCAACAAGAAAAATGTTCCATCATTTGCTACCAACGCCAACTGAGGCAGGTGGGATGTCGAGTAAGGCATAGTGGGTGATTAGGCGCAAAGGGCATATACTCCAATTGGTGAGTTTTCCCTTTTCCCAGTCGCCCCCCACACCCTGATGAACAGGCGCTGATTGCTTATGGAGTTTATCAAGCTAGCCTGCACCTAGGCATAATCAAAGCAATTGCGTGAGCCTCGACTACCCTATTAAAGCTTCAGTTTTCACTCAGCTGTTGGCCTGTGATTACTTGATTCCTCGTAGCAGGTACGAGCGGAGTGGGAGCAGGATGAAGAGAAGCAACCACCCGCTACTAAGCTCAAGTCAAAACAATGTCTGGTACTCATTCTGACATTGTCGTGTTGGCGATGTCGAGTAAAAGTGAGCACAGCGGAAGCTGCCAAGCATTCGTAGGAAAAGGAACATCTTAGGGGAGCCTGATTTGGAAAGGATCACAGACAGATGTAGCTGGAGGTTTTTTGTCGGATATCAGTAATCAGAGAAACGGAACGATGGAGCAACAACTCCTTCTGGGGTCATGTCGAAGATCTGTTCTGTGGATGGATTAGAGTAGCTCGATGTTCCGTAGTCGCGGTTCGAAAATGCGCACCAATGGCGCTAGGGCCTTGCAAAGTGATCTGATGGCGGCTATAGTAAACTTGCGACCGAGATACCTCGCGTACTCTAGCATGCAACCTGGATGACGTGTAGGACGTAGCAGATAGATTGTCGATAGGCTGAAAGATATGATTGATGCGGCTGTGCGCTACAAAGACGTCCTGACACATCTTTTCCTCGTCATCATTATCAACCGCTGATAGTTCGGGCGGAAGTGGTGTAGTGGCAAGTGGCACGCTTACCACGCGAGCGGTCCGGGGATCAAATCCTGGGTCGTGAGTCGCCCGGGCCAACCAAGCCTTCCATCCCTCCGGGGTCGGTTAATTGGTACCAGACTTGTCTGGGAGGATAAAAACTGACTTGTACATCGGCTGGCCCCCGCAAGTCATTGTATAGGCCACATCGCATTCAAACGCCACTACGAATGTACAAATGGAAGTAGAATGCGTGCCGCATCCCAAAAAGGGATTGATCAACGGCAAATGCTTTATCCTTATTTTTTTTACCAGATTGGTCCCCCGTCAACCGCCGGGATGTTGCTTCCCTGCGTAAGCTTCACGTCTTCCGCCATGGTCCTTCCACTTGTGTATAATAGAATGAGACTGAGCTCGATCGGTGTTTATATAGCCACCAGGTTTGCTCCGCCCGCTATCGCGCGCATCACAGGGTAGGGAGGAACCACGGAATAGCAGCATGACGTACTCCATTAACCACCTCACTATTGAATGTGTTATACCTCCTTATACCCCTTCTCTCCGGCGCATGGCAGCACCATGTTCTCCTCCCTTCTCTCCCCCTCCCCTGCTTTCCCCCTCCCCTCTACCGCCCGCCGACTCCGGCTGCCCCGGCAGCACCATGTAGAATGAGGCTGAGTGTGCTCGTTCGGTGTTTTTGTAGCCATTGTGGGTGTTATCACAATCACCACATCAGGTTAGAATAATACGTCAACATGAATATAGACCTTACTCTTAAAAACGGTCGTTCTCTCTCAGTCTCTCCTCCCCACCTCCCCCTCCTTATACCCTCCTCTCCGGCGCATGACAGCGCCATGTTCTCCCTCCCTTTCTCCTCTCCCCTTCCCTCCCTCTTTCTCTCTCCCCCTCCCTTCCAGCCTCCCCTTTCTTGCCCCCTTCCCTCTACCCCTCTTCCTCTACCCTCCTCCCCCCCCGCTCATCCGGCTGCCACGGCAGCACCATGTAGAATGAGACTGAGTGTGCTCGATCGGTGTTTATATAGCCGCTGTGGGTGTTATCATGATCATGACATCAACATCACGAAGTGTTGCCCTTCGTACTCCCTGGTTTTGTGAGCGGGACGGACAGAACGACACACACACACCGACAAACCGACACACCAAAGTTCTGGTTTATATAATGAAGTGATAGCTCAATATTCAACCTGGGTTTGTTGGTTTGATTCTAAAGAGTCCTCACAGTAGAGCGACCATCCTATCAAGTGATTGAAAAAGCAACGAAAACTTATTGCCAGTGGCAAAGCCTGATAGTGAGCGGCAAAGGATGATCCTCTATCAGCCCTCAAAGTAACGCCTGCAGACAATCCGTTCCTGCCACGATCATAATCGTCGTAGTGACCGTTCTAACTAAGATCCCTGTCACAATCGGTTCTGCGTAGAGTTTGGGGTCCGAATTTTTCTTTGCGCATGTGTGTATCAAGAAACTCACGAACCACTCGCTGTGTGCGGTATCCGCGTCCTAATCCTATTTGCCTGTGGAGACAGAGGTTTACCTTGGGCTGAAAAAATGAGTGTAGCAAAAAAAACCTACAGTCGATATCCGAAAGTTGGGGTAGGCGTGTCACCGGAAGTGACGTTCACTTGATAGAAGTTGCGTGGATAAGCTGTTGCCAGCATGCTTTGCTGATATCCAGCGATGTATCCAGTGATGCCTACCACATATCGAGTGTAACTTATTGCTCGGCATCATCAAACAGAGAATTAAAACGAGTCGAATGAAATAATGATACCACGACTCAACCGACACAGAACGACTGCGTTGGTGCCTGAACGATCTTACCATTAGAGACCCTTTGAAGAACATTATGATACGGCTATGTCCAATAAGAACAACCCAGTTCTACTGTACTACTGTGCAGCTGTTCAGCTTCAATATCAACTACCTTGGATAATTCACTGCGTTCAACATGAGCATGTTGCCTTGCCTTTCTTAAAGTCAGACTAATGGCCTCATCTTTGAATATGCACCAACTCCGAGTCTTACGAGGTTACACTGGTTAATCTAATCATAATGAATGATGAAAGACTGATGAAAGACATCTATGGAATCCTTTCGACAGTATGTGACTTGAGCATTTGCTCTCACGTCCATGATAACCGATGAAGACCAGGCACAATTTTGCGCTCCTTTCCAAACCATCGCTAATTAGTCAGGCATCCATTCGAGTGACGTCACTCCTGCTCTCTCAAATCTTCAGAAGTCTCAAGAAAAGCTAGGCAGTTGTGGTGGTTGAAGGTCTACACACCTGCGGAGATCTCATCGGCCTTCAAATTAGTCCATTCGCAGCCCAACAACATGAATTCCCATTTAAAGGCAAACTCCAGGATTGAACTAGTGCTATCAGCGCTCTGTAGTGATAGCTTAGCTGCGGAACGACCTGAAAGTGGAAAGGAAAGCAAGAGAAATCTTGGGAACGCTGAAATTAAGGTCTTACCTTTAACAGGGTCGGATGTGGTACGATGTCGAGAAAGGGTGGTCAAAGAAGACAAAATACGCGAGAGCACGTTTTTTGAGAGAGCACGCTGATCTCAATACCTCTCGCGGTGGGTGGGGAGCGTTGGAAATTGGGTCAATGGTTGCCGGCCGTAAGGAATAGCGCCCTAACCGCGCAATTTTTGCGACGAAGCTGGAGTGATCTATGTAGTTACAGGCCTTGCAATTTCCCTAGTGGTATCCCTCCTAGAAGCGCCCTAACCGCGCAATTTTCGCGGCGAAGCTGGAGTGATCTAGGTAGTTACAGGCCAGGTGACAATTCACTGGTATCCCTCCTCAAAGCGCCTTAACCGCACAATTTTCGCGGCGAAGCTGGAGTGATCTAGGTAGTTACAGGCCTTGCAATTTCCCTAGTTGTATCCATCCTACTAGTCGGACCAATCCTGGGGTTTGCCTTTAAAAATCTGCTCTTTGTTTTATAGCTTCTACGAATGTGTTATTTTGGTATTGTGGAGCGCATCTGACCTGTCGTAGTGTATCGCCTAACGTTCAACCAAAACTCAGATCTCTCGATCATTTCCTCCCATTCCTGAATAAGCTTTAGCTCATATCCATCGCTGCCGTCCAGCTTCCGCTACCGATTGCCCGCTTTGAAAGTATTTTTAGGTATTTACGCAAAGCAGGTAGATAAAATTCGGTGGCGGTATACAGTGGCTCATTCCTGATGGTCTTACTCTGTCAGAGCTTGTATAATGAAATTCCCCATCTTTAGTTCGAAGTAGAGTCATTCATCAAATGAAGATTAGTAATGAAAGACCATATGAAAAAATATGAAGAATTTGTAGAATTAGGCAAGAGCCTGCTCGCGAAACAGCGTTTGTGCAAACCCAACGTCGTCCCATATTCATTCTAGAGCCTGCAGATCACGATGTCAGTGACCATTTGCAGAGATCGCTCGCGTAGTCGCGGCCATGTCCGCCCAGGTTCACGTGGACGATGCCGTGGCAGAAGAGGAACGTGGCGAGAAAGTAGTTCTCACAGAAATGATCCTAGTGCCTGTCGACCGTTATCCCAGAGTGAGTTTCTACACGTGTCAATATTCGCTTTGTCAGAATTGACTGCTGTCAAAATGTTACTGACAAGGGAAGGATACCAGGTCGAAGTGGCCTTTTGTAACGAGTGTACACCACTAGATGTGTTTTTGGACGCTGATCTCGAATCTGTTCTCCAAATCTGCGAAACGATTCTCTGGACGTAGTTAGTTCTGAAGCGAAATAGTGCATGGCAACGGCCCAAGCCGACGAGTGGGAGGTCGTGAGGTTCTCAGCTGCGTTTCTTGAAAACATTTATTCAAGACTTCTATGACATAACTAAATAATCAGCGAACTGACTATCTTATAAGTGGGCAATAGCTTGAACAAAAACAAAAAAAAAAAATTTTTTAAGGGCGATTTTATTTATTTTTCCGGGAAAAACATGTGCGCGTCAATTGCTGTAGTCCTATCGCGTGCGTTTGTGCCAGCCACATTGTCACATTTTTGGATTCGGACCAAAGGGGTAGTTTGACGCGCTGAACACAAAAGTCACACTTGGCAAGAAAGTGCATGACGCATGCGTTACGGGTGCAAGAGACGGTCACTTTCAAATGACGCGCACAGTGTTCGAAGCACTTCGCGAGCTCTTTCCACCTGTATGATAGGCAATCCCTGATGACTTAGCATGGATGAAAGTTCTTTAAACAATGTTTTCAAGAAAAGCAAAAGTGAGAACTCGCCAAGAATACGATCTCGCGACCTCTTGCTCGACGGCCCGGGCCGCTGCCACTGCACTATTTCGCTTCATAACTACGTTCGGAAAATCGTTTCGCAGATTTGGAGAGCTGATTCGAGATTAGCGTCCAAAAATACAGTTGCAGGTGTAGAACTCGTTACATGGCCACTTCGACCTGGTATCCTTCCCTTGTGAGTAGAAAGCAGTGAACGCAGCAAGCGGGGACCTTGTATGCTAGTATGCTATAATATGCATGGCTTACCCAATTCATCCGTCCGAAAGCAACCAAACCTGCTAAATAGTTGATCTCGCGCACACATCGTTGCATTACCTCTTTGCTACTTCACACTAATCCTACGATGCTGGGTTATGGCGTACCCTGAAAGAACCCACAACTGCAACAACGGCAGAAACAAGCAAGCAAGGGGTGTCAGAAAGTGTCATCCTTCCTTTCAAAAACAACCCCTTTTCTTTTGAAGCTCCGTTAGGCTTGAAAATTAGTTTAAATGCGCAGTGACGTTCCACGAATATAAATGAAACCTTCTGGTTTGCAAACGCGCGGAAGCCTTTACAATCTCAAACGTGCGAATGTCACCTTACAGTACAATTTCGTCGGTCGCATCCTGGGCCCTCGCGGCATGACAGCAAAGCAGCTGGAGGAAGACACAGGATGCAAGATCATGGTGCGCGGTCGTGGTTCCAGCCGCATGGTCAGTTCCCCTCAGTGCTTGTTCAGAGGCTATTTATAACCTCTTCAAGTCAACGCGTTCAGAGCGGCACCAGGCGTGAGCGCAGCAATGACACGGAACCTCTTCATGTGCTGATTCAATGCGAAGACTATGAGAAGAAGGCTCACCAGAAGATGAGAAATGCGGTCGAAGCGATCAATCAGCTCCTTCACCCTCCCGTGGCGTCGCTGTGAGTACCATCCGTCCCTTTCGGACCAAAGCATAAGACGTAAAATTTTTAGCCAGAAGGTAAAGATGAATTGAAGCGTAAGCAGCTCATTGAACTCTCTATCATCAACGGAACATATCGCCCAACCTCTGCCACCAAAGTCGCTCTTCGTGAGTTCTTTTCTATCTCATTGCGGGTTTTCTTGAAGTTCCGGCTTCGAACTTCAGAGGCTCCACGTCCGGCGTCAGCGGCTCATCTCCCATCCATGATGGAAAACTCGACCTATACAGAACAAGCCCGCGCTTGCTTTCCCAATTCGCTGAAGCTGCCAAGCACGGTAAAACGAAGTAAGTGGAGGCATTCGATCGTTCAAGATTATTTTGAACGAATATTGGGGCATACGCTGTTTACAATTATTTTTCGGAAAAGGTGGTTGTTCCAGTGAAATCGAAGAACAGTACGCGGCGCTCGCGCAGATGCTTGGGACCCTCAATCCTGTACAAGCAAGCAACGTCAACTGCAATTACTATGACTACTACAAAAATCTCCTCTCGTAAGTCCCTCTTCAAATGTACTTTAGCTTCAAAGATAAACAATCGATTCTATTGGACAGTTGTGTAAGTGCGAATGTAACACCTCAAGGTTTTTCAGGTGCACACTAGCTGATCCAGGATTTCTATCCACCCTGATGCAATCACTCGATCTCTATGGTATGGGCAATCGCCCAGCAATGCATCCCGGTGGTCAGCATCATCAATCACATGCTGGGCCAGTCAGTGTCCTCTCCTGGCCAGATTCCTCAAGCCAATCTTCACCAGTATCTCACAGCAGCTGCAATGCTCAACTCTGCTCCGTTCTCGAACGACGGCTCCGGAGACGGGCCCAAGAACAAAATTCGCAACTCAGCCTAGAGGAGGCCTAATTTCTTTATTCTATTTTTTCTTGTTAATGGCTCGATATTCGCATGTTCGGTTCGTATCTAGTAACCCGCACGACATTGACTCAAATCTATTTTTGTATTCGATTTCCGATGTTTAGCTTTCTCGTCGTCCACGCAGCTGCGAATCTCCTTTGCCATTTAACCTTCCTGTTATCGTCATCATAAAAATGTGTGTTCGTTTCTCATTTTCATCATAAACCTTCAGTTTAGCAGACTGGCAAGGCCATAACTATTGGCTCACCTGTATGAGATTTGAAAAGTACATCCATCCATACGACATACACTATTGCAGAAATTCCAGGAAAGGAATTAGTGCTCCATATGTGTAGTCGAGGGAATGGATACTTTGGCGCTTATCGTTCGCATTGGAAAAGTCCGGAAGCACTAGAGATGCGATACAGAATTGTTGTTAGTTTATCCGAGAACACTAACATGCAAGTTAGAAAAGAGTCGGATGGTCGATGTGAAAAAAGCAAAAAAAGCACCAAAATAGACAACAACAATCGAAGAAAACACTGGAAAATTTCCTGTAGCGCTTAGACGTGAGTTAAAATTAAAAAGACAGACGCTGCTAGGAGAGTAAACGAGAGAGCTCGTTCACGAGAAGGCACAGACGCAACATGTAGAACTTAATATATTGGGTTGATGCATAATTATTGCGGCTTTTTCCAACAGATTTTATTCAGCGAAAACGACAAAATTATTCAACAAAAACATGTTTAAATAATAACCCCGGAGCGTGGTCACCATCCCACAAGAATGCTTTCCCATTTGCTTTTCTCTCGGTGATTCCACGGATAAAAAAGTCACGATTCTCGGAGACGATCCACGCTCTAACACTGGCCACCAACGCATCCAGCTCATCCTAAAATTTGTTCGTTTGCCAGTTTTTCAACGTCTGATTGAATTGCTAGTCTGTAGGAGCTCCGCTCGGTAGATGTGGCGTTTTAAACTTCTTGAACGATCTAATTGCTCCCTCGCTGAGAAGTTTGATGAGATCGCGGAATGGCCCCGCCGCCTTCTAACATTTATAGAAGTAGTAAGCATGTGTGGTGAAGATGAGGACAATTTCCGATAAGCATTTCTGTTAATGGAAGAAAGAAGAATATTCTCATGAAAAAAAAAACAGAAACTCAAACGCCAATCTTCTCGAGAAAAGAACGCGCGAAAAAAGGCCGCCATAATTATGCATCAACCTAATAGGAGTGGCAGCGCCCCCCGCCCCCCCGCCCCTCCCGCCTCCTGTCCTCCCACTCCCCCCCTCCTCCCCCCCCCATCGCGTCGCCAGGCGCTTATACGAAGGTATATATGGTGCGTAAAACTTAAGCGACGGGTGCAAACAAACAGCTCTACTTGTGACAATTCAATGGAAGGGGTTGAAACTGCGGGAGCGGCCCACTTCAGTTTGAAGTCAAACGAGATTGGCCTTGCTATACGAGGAGGTTTGAATGTAGTGGTGTTCTTCACTACAGCCAGTCTCACAGACAGCGCGGTGATTTTACACGAAGAAAAATCATCGGGAAGCTGGAAGAAGAGCGATGGGCCACGAGAGCAGCCCAGCAATTTGGTTTTGCTCACAGCGCTGCTCGTTTTCTCAAATGGTAAGGATCACTTCCCTTATGTTCTTGAGCTTACTCGCTAGTTCAAGATCCTCGTTTCGGAACTTATGCTATTTCGAATCCTATAAGAACTGTGAAATGGAGTCGATCGCAATTTCCAGAAAGGGATAATGATTGCTAGAAACTTGCTTGTCCATGAGAGCACGACCATGTGGAGAGTGTCCGCAAAAACTACACATGCACGCCTATGAATTGCCGTGGTTTATAGGGAAATCTCCCAACAAAGAAACCAACCCTACTGCAACTCCACCAGTCCACGTAGCCACGCAAGTTTCCGCTAGATCATGAAAAATGAGACACCATCGCGTGTGGTCTTCAGCGGTTTAAGACTTTGTAAAGGCAGCCAGGGCATTCCTTGTCATTACGCAACATTTTTCGTCAGCTCTTCAACAGCTTCACGGCTTCAGGTAGATCTACCATTCTACGTACAAGGGGTCAGGAAGACCGGCACGACAAGGCGACCCCAATTCGTTCGAAATTTTCAACGCTGTTCTCGGGATCGCCACGGGTAGACTGAAACAGGAAACCATGAAGGTGGAAGCCAACGGCCAGTAACCCGGTGAGGTGCTGATTGATTTCAAATGTGCATGAGGAGAACTCCTCTCACAGTAGAAGCTTACAGAGACGGCTCTAACTGGAAGATGACTATGTCAAACCCATTCACGCTCTTGAACGGGCTTCTCGAAACGAAGAAACGAGTGGAGCGGAAACATGGGACTATCGAGAAATTAGTGATGAACGACGTAGAATACATGAGATCGATAATTTCTTGGCTACTGCGCTACAAGCCATGCCAGAAGCGCCTTATATCTTTGCGCGTGCGCCACATGATATGTTCCTGGCCGCAGAAGAACTTCCGACTCCGTGCCTACTTCAGTTCTGCAGTGCCTCGAAGCATGTTCATCACGCAAACGGGATGTACGGCGATGAGCTGCATAACATGCGCCGTGTAGAATACGATGCTCAAGAAAGCTCGATACAAGGAAGCGCAGAAACATCTTCACTTCAAATCTTCGCTATTTCCAAGATCTGGTCCTTTGCCTTTATTATTCAAAGAATCAATAATAGGGACACTT